CCACGAAGATCACTGGTAGAGGAGTCTGGCACCAGTGCATAGAGAGAGCCTTGGGTCATGGCTGTGCCTGTACTTGCACATTGCTTGGGGGATGTCCAGGGAATACGTAACCTCAGCTGAAAGTGAGTCCGATTTTTCAGGCATGTCTAGTCAGAAGTTGGCAGCAGTTTTGTTCCGGAATGTAAGCCTGCGCAATATGCTTCCATGGCTGCCATGGGTCAAGGGAAATAGATGTTGACAGCAAGCTGAGCAGCCAGCTCTATCAACAGGAGACCGTTCTCCTCAGTGGATGCTGTTGTATCGCTTCAGATGACAGGCAGTGACAATCTACAATCTGTGGAACAAAACAAGGCCCTTTGTTGGTGCTGACCCCCGAAACAAATCTGGATGTTGCCTCTTCTGGTGCTCAGCACTGACTGCGTGTAAAACAGCCTGGATGGTTATAAATAAATAAAGGAGTATCAAATGCTTATAAATAAATAAAGTTATAAAATGGTGATAAATAAATAAAGAGTATCAAAACAAAAGAACCTTTGTCCTCATTAGCTTGTAAATATAAAACTCTCTATATCCTCTATCTGAGGCCAATCCCCCCAGCACGCCCTTATTTCTGTTAGTCTGATAGACCTCTCCTTTGAATCATACTGGCACTTTGCTCCCTAAGATGTGTCATAATTCACAGTCTAGTCCATTGACTCAGGGTTACAGGCATTAAAGATATATGGCAAGTGGTATTTGTCTTAGTTGTAAGATTCCTGTGAGTATCCTTGGATTCAGGCTCAGTGAGAAGAGCCGAGGGGCGGCAGAGGTGGTAAGCTGACTTAGCTGTGTCTTGGCCAATTATTGTATCACAAAATGCTCATGGGCTTTGGCAACAGTATTTCACAGCAGTCTCTCCCCCCCACCCCCCACCCCCACTATTATGAGAATCAGCCAAGCAACTTGGAGCTCAGAAAAACCATGCACATCATCTTAAGAAAGCACACAATTTTGGAGGATGAAAATAGTCAAAATGTCTAGGGTTGGCCAGTAATAAAAAGAAGTGGATTTTTAAAAACAAACATCAGTGCCGATTCAAATCAATCTTTTAATCAGAAGTATCTAACGTCCTTTCATCCCACTGCTCACTCTATCAGAACCCTGAGGTCTCACCATAATGAGAATCATATTCCTATCTCCACCCTCCAAGATATATTTATGTTTGGAAAGGCCTCCTCTCCTGGGGCTGAGAGAATCACACATGTTTGCAAGCATTCTATCAAGCAGTTTAAAGAGCATAAAACTTGCAGCAATATTTTTGGGAGTCAATTTTATTGTTATGACTTTAAAACACAATAAAATAAAAACAAGAATTCCATTAGTGGTTGAATATTGTAATAATAGAGTTGAGAATAAATGTTACTGCTGTAGGAGCTATAAAACAGTCACAATAATAATAATAATAATACAGCTATATTATTGTGAATAAATTGTGTGGATCTGACTAACTAGAAAGCCATAAAGTACAGTGATCAGGGATAATCGAATCACTGGGAAAAATGGGATCATAATTCACCCTTGTTAGTGAGCGGCCCCTGGTTTCAGTTCATTGACCCTGAATGTGATAGGCTGCTAGCTGCATTCCATAAAGTTGCAGAGCACTCCCTTTTAACTGATGGAGTAGGCAGGAGCTAGCCTGTAATAATACAACTGGACATGGGATTAAGAAAATTCTAAGTATCAGTAACCATTAGCAAAACTTTGTAGAGTTATGCCAAATGTTCTCACAACACATTTTAAACATTATTTGCAAGCTTATATCAACAATTTGTTTGATTATACACAGTCATGTAGTTTTCATTTTTATTTACAGCGTTCCTTTGCTTCAACATAATTGCACAGAGCTAGCAATCTGTTTGTGTGTTTGTTTTTTAAGGTTTGTTTTCGCTGGGTTCTCTAGAGAAGCAAAACCAGCGATCCTTGAATGTGTGGTACATCGAAAGAGATTTTTAGCAGGAAATGGCTTACACAGTTGTAGAAATAGGTAAGTGCAACCTGGTTCAAGTCAGGCTTCTACTGACTGGTGGAAGGTGATAAGCAGGAGCAGGATGACCAAGCAGAGGCAGCAGGGGCACAAGCTGGTGGATGTAGATGTCCAACATTGGCCTTATGAATCCACCATTGGTCCGTCCACTGATGGCACCTGGTTTCAGCAAACAACGCAACCGGAGATTGAAGAACCAGTTGGAGATACGGCTCCAGCAGAAGACAAAGTGCTTCAGAGGATTCGACTCTGCGTGTTCTCTCTCTTAAACAAAAAGGCTTATAACAGCAAGGAGGTGTCCTCAGGTTTCGATATAATTGAGTGGTTGAGCCCCGCCCCTACCCTCACCCTTACCCAGGAGGGGCTAGTTGACATAATCCCTAACCATCACAGCCAGAAAAGTACAAAGCCTATTGTAATCTTGGTTTTTATACAAATGTGCCCCAAAGCCCTCTGGCCCCTTTTCAGAAAAACATTACCCAGCACCCACCAGGCAATTTAAAACTTTTTCACTCTAGCCCATCAAGCTCTCACAAACTCACCGATATCAAGTCAATTCTGACTCACACTGAGCCTAGAGGACAGTGTAGAGCTGTCCCTGTGGGTTTCTGAGACTACAACTCTTACCGAGAGTAGAAAGCCTCATCTTTCTCCTGATGAGGCACTGGTGGGTTCAAACTGCTGACCTTGGGGTTAGCAGCCCAACATGTAACCCACTGTGCCACCAGGGGTCACTATGCTCACTATGGATATAGTGAGACAATATCCATCACCCAGGATAAAGTGTAGGTATCTGCTATTGCAGCCCTGCTGGATTGTTCCAGCCGCGCCCCCCCCCCCCCCCGCCCCTGGGATTGGTATCACCCATTTTGGGAAACACTGTTTTAGATGGTCCCATTTCATCATCTTTGATCTTCCCATTAATTCCTTAAAATATCATAAATTCAGAAATCTTGAAATTAAATTTTGATGATATTCAGAACAGAGGGGAAAAAAAATACACCTTTGACACTCTTCCCCTTACCTAAATGGATAACTAGGCATGAAACACATCATTTAGAACTATTAAAATCATTTAGAAACTACTGCCCTGATAAAATCTTTGATCTTAAACCAAAAACATCCCCTGAGATGGTCTTAAAACCAAATTATGTTCTAGACCAGTGGTTTTCAACTTTCCTAATGCCGTGTGCCTTTCATACAGCTCCTCATGTGTGGTGACCCCCCCAACCATAATATTATTTTCATTGCTACTTCATTACTGTAATTTTGCTACTGTTATGAATTGGGCGACCCCTGTGAAAGGGTCGTTTGACCCCCAAAGGGGTCACAAACCACAGGTTGAGAACCGCTGTTCTAAACCCTTCATTTGCTTTCCATTTCTTGACATTATAATATTTGTTTGTATACTTGCCTATTGTTATTCTTTCAACTCTAATGTGAGATCCTTCAGTGCGGGCCCTCTCTTTGCCTCATGCATCTTTGTAGCTCCACTCCCTAGGAGTGTGCGTGGCGTACAAGAGTTATTCGTTACGTGTTTGTGGAAAGAATGAGACAAAGGAAAGGCTCTAGGATGGACCTCAGTTGCCAAGGACTCAGATCCTCTACTTGCTTTGCTCCAGAGTTTGTCTGGCTCAATTAGATTTTAGCAGCCATGTTAACTCGAGCCTTTGGTTTTACTGGCCACTCTTTGAGGATCAAATATATTTTGGATTTGTCTAAAAGTGCGATGGGATTTTTGAAAGAGGCCTCTACATGAGAGACCAGAAAAACCCAAACTCACTGCCATCGAGTCAATGCCGACTCATAGTGACCCTATAGGACAGGTCATAACTGCCCTGTAACTCTTTATAGGGAAGAAAGTCCCATCTTTCTTCCATGGAGGGATTGGTGGTGTCTAACCGCTGACTCTGCGGATCACAGCCAGGAGGGTGTGAACGAAAATCCTCTTGGGAAAGGACTTAAAGCGCTCAGATTTGGAGAGACAAGGACATTATGTACCAAACTGTGCCTCCCCTCCCAAATAAAAACGCTATTCCTAGAGGACCTTTAAATATGACCCAGTTTGAAAATGCACGTACTCCTCACTTATCAGCATGGTGACGCTCTAAAGACCAGGTCATATTAAAAAATGGGCCTGATTTGAAAATGATGGATGGCCCCGTAACTGCCAATATATAATACAGAACTGCCAACCCATTGAGAATCCCATCGAGTCAAGTAGGCACGCAACTTTACCCATCACATCCCGCCTTCCACTGGCCTCATACTTCAGTGTTTGTTAGTGGGCATGTACATTAGTATTGCGCAACATCGTCAGTAGATTTATTGTCAAATGTCAAAGAAGTAGGCAAAGAAGTTGTCTTTATTATGTGAATGAAGTCCTAAAAGAGCATGGTGGGTTCTAAACCCAATCCCTTTCTGAGTGGTTTCTTACCCAAGGGGAAAACATGCGGAGAAACCGACACAGGTGTAGACAGACACCATGTGAAGACAGAGGTGGCTGCATCGACAAGCCCAGGAACATCAAGGAATGCCCATCGCTACTAGAAGCTGAAGGAGACACAGAGAGATTCCTAGAGCCAGTGGCCTGGATTTGGACTTCTAGTTTTTTCAACTATGGGAAATTGGATTTCTGTTCTTGGTGATATTTTTGGTTAAAGCAGCACTGAGAGACGGACACTGAATCTGAGATGCTGACTACGTGGTCCTCGGAAGAAAAGAAGAGATTGAACTCCGAAATGTGGGTTTCAGAAAATAACTGGAAAATCATATGGTACAGGTCCTCATTATTCTGTGGAGCCATTGAGAGACGGTCGCAATTGAGTTAATGAAGCAAGTGTTCGTGTCTGTGTCAGTTGAAGGATCTGCTGTGTGACTTATCTTATCTTGGTTGTGGGAGCCGCACCCCTGGTGCCTGCAGAGAGGCACTCCATTCCAGAGCCTGCTGGAGAAAACTAGTTTTCTTTTTCATCTCCGGAAGAATGAAGCCTTTGGTTGGGACTTTTTACCTCCTGGGAATGCTAGTTCCTGGGGGACTGGCACATGATGGGTGAGTATGAAATGGAAGAGAAGATGTAATTATGATTAATCTGTACAAATGAAAAGCATTTTACAAGATAAATGGACTCCTTCCTATCCGAACACACCACTTGATACGAGAATAGAAATGATGATAGCTCAAGTTCTATCATTCAAAATTGCTCTAAAAACACCACAATAATGTTTGGATAACTAGATAAGTAGTATCTCATAAGAATTTTCTAGCAAAATGCAGGACAAATATCAATGCATTACATTTATCTATAACTCATTTTTGAAGAAAGAAATTATAATACAAAACTGGATCCTCCTTTTCTCAGTTTTTAATTGGTAAAGAGTGTTTTTAGAGTTGTTTCAGTTTTTAATATTTTCTGCTTTTTCTATTGAGGGTTTTCTCTGTTTTATTTTGAAATTGATGTTAGGGTTTTTGTTTGTTTTGTATGATTTTCTGTACATTAAATCCAGGGCAGGTAAATGTAGAGAGATAGTAACTGGAGTAATCATTATGTGTGGGATGGTAGGGGAGGTTGGGGGCAGTGGGGAGCTAACAATGAGCACCGTGAGAAAGGAGAAAACATTCTAGAGCCAATTGCGGGGAGTGCAGGACTCTTCTTAATATGACTGAACTATTACGTTGTATGATACTTGAATTATATGCCAGTGAAGATTTTTTAAAATAGAGTGAATGTAGGTGTCATCAATCGACATATTTGGAGAAATACAAATAAGGAAGTGTACAATAATTGTGCTTTCATAGTTAATAATGGGCTTCACCTCAAGCAGAGGAGCAGTAGTGCAGACCCAGCAGGGCTTTGCTCTGTTTTGTCTAAGGTTACTTTGGGTCGGAATCAACTCAATGACACCTCCCAGCAATGAGGCTCATTGACACAGGGGCTGCAACAAGGGCCCCCAACGTGAAACCAAGTATGAGGGTGACGCAGGCCCAGACAGGGTTTCCTTCCCTTGTGCATTGGGTCACTGTGGCCCAGAACCAACTTAATGGCACCTAACAGCAAAAACAGATAATTATTGTCAGTGCTTTAGCTAGATGGGTAATTAAGTGAACAAGAAGACTGCTGGGATTTTTCAGTGATGTTATATCATGGAAATTTTTATAAGGCATACATAATACATGGAAAACATTATAATCACCTATAACATTACCTTGTGGGACATTTAGCTGATTTTCACATGCTGCCTTTACAAATAATGCTATGATAAGGGAGTGTCTCCAAGTTCATGGGAAAAAACGAAAGTGGTCAGTGTGGTTTCCTCTAGTCATCTAGGGAATCACCCATACTTCCACCATCGTCCTACTTGGATGATGCCTGAAAGCCGGCCTGGAGCAAGTGTGTTACCTTGGTGAGCTCTACTGGAAATTTAACTATTTATTGGAATGGAATTGACAACTCTGAGAATGATCTAGAACTAGAAAAAAAATCTGAAAACAAAGTTCTGGATGGACATGATAACACTACCCAAAGATCAACTATAAAGAAAAAATTAAAATGATTTATGAGGAACAGTTACATTTTGGGGTGATGAAATTTGACATATGTTGGATGGGAGTGGCTTTTTTGGATGTAAGAGATAAAAAGGACAAGAGGATCTACATTTTCATGGAGAAAGGAAATGTGCAAACCCTTCCTGTAGGAATGTATCACTGTTTGACACTGGATGAAAATAAAAAACAGATCATGAACAGATATATGCTCTCCTATGTTCATGGCAGCCGAGTTCACAACAGCAAGAAATGGGGAAACAGCCCAAATTTCCATCTGTAGAAGAATGGATATAAAAAACCTTGGTATACACACACAAGGGAATACTACCTATCCCTAAAAAACAGTGGTGAAACCGTGAAGCACCTCACGAGATAGAGGGATCTGGAAAGCTCTATGCTGAGTGAAGTTTGTCGATCACAAAAGGACACATACTGCTCGATGGACAAACACCAAGATGAAGGCAAAGTCATGCTTTCAGGTTGCAATTGCTAATCAAGGCTGCCAAGCCACGCGTTAGAAAGTCGGACTAGTGCCAGACACCAGACACCGCCACCTCTATATGCGCACTTCACAACTGCATTGAGAGAGGAGTCCTCGCTTCAGCTGGGATCAGATTTTCAAGAGTGAGGGAAAGGAAGATGATTCTCTAATGGCTGCCAGGCATAAATGTGCCAGGACTGCTTCAAACCAGCAGCCATTCCTACCAGATTGATAAGTGATGGTGATGGGAAGATCAGGCCAGGAGCGGGGACGGGGAGCAGGCAGTCTTGGAGAAGACGAGGGCGGATCTGTTGGTAGATAAAGGGGGAGGATCAACCTCCTAGCAGGGAAAAAATGACCATGAATACTTTTATGGACTCCACGGGCAGAGCAAACCAGGTACTAGGTTTCTAATAGGCACACTGATCCGAGTTTCTGTACACGCTCTGGGGAACCAGGTCATGGACCATAGAACACTGGGATATTGAACCCAGGATCTTTGAAGTGCACAGGATACTCAAAGGCCATACCAGAGTGATGTGGTGTGGCAACCCTATTAGGTGAACTGAGCTGTACCTCAAACACACTTGTTCTCCAAGAATTTAAGACCAAAATCCCAAGGAGTATGAAAAAGCAGAGGAGAGTTATACCACGATTATAGATCTATTGGCGGGTGGACTAACATTTACTTACTACTACAATGTCTTACTTCATTTATTAAGGTAGGTGGTCTGGCTTGCCTCTGTCTGACATTGTCAGTGGATAGTTTTTGTAAGCTTTGCATGACCACCAACTCCCATTGTTTGTGTCAATCCTATCAAGTCACCTAATGACTGGATCCCTACTAGTCAATAATCCATGTTTTAGGATTTGTAGCTAGCCTACACTTGCTTAATCTCCCTTTCTTACTTCTGTTTTAAAGACATTCAAAATAGCAAACTCATTATTACCGAGTGAATCTGAGACTGTAATTGTTTGTGGGAGTAGAAAGCCCAATCTTTCTCCCACAGAGCAGCTGGTGGTTTCGAACTGCCAACCATGGGGATCAGAGCCCAATGCAAAATAACTACACCACTAAGGCTCCTTCACCAAGGGCTAAATCAGTGACACTATAAACAGAAGAGCCATATGCTCCAGTGAGATGATAAAAATTCTCTACCATAAAATAACAAGGACATCTCTAAGGTGAAGCAGACACTGGTAGAAAATAGAGATTTAGAAATAGATTTTTGGGTTAGCATTTAATCCTAGATCAAATCTAAGAACAATTAGTTCTTATGACTTGCCCTCATGAAGGAGACATGGAAAAATATGGGTGCTATAGAAAAGTGTGGTTAAGAAATTGGATGGTGCCCTGCTATCAGAAAGAATAACAACTGGAGTCTTGTTTTCAAATAAGTAGCAATCTAAGTAAGATGTCAGCTAAGCTCACATGGAAGAAGCACACAAGCATCTGTGATCCAAGGAGTGGAAAGTATATAATCCAAATCCAAAAGAGGGAATGGTATCAGAGTTTAAATTGTGAAATTCTGGTTTGCAGAAAGCTGTGGATGTCAGTGGAAGTCCATAATACATTCTCAGGATCTATACAGAGAATACGCCTCTGGTATTTCCCTATACCCATAAGTGAGAGATGGGAATAGCCCTGGTTATCAGACAGAGAGCATTGGAGAGAAGATTATAACAGATGAAAATAATAAATCTAACTTGAATGTTTAAAACCTTGTCATTTGATCTCCCTTTGGACACGCAGTGAGCTTGATCTGGTCTGTAGTATTTTCTGTCTGCTTTTTGCTTGGGGGTGGTGTTTGCCAGATTGGGGCTTATTTCTGCTGTGCTTTGTTATTGTTGGTAGCATTCTTGACCCTGTTGCATATCTTTATATGTTTTTCAGTATATGAAACCTAGGTTGGGTGGATCTATGGAGACCATAACTAGAATAAGGGTTCTTGGGGGTGGGGTAGAGGGATGGCAGGGAAGGAAGCAGGTAAAGGGGAGCAGATATCAAGGAGTACAAGAAGGAAGAAAATGTCTTGAGATTGATTGTGGTAGCAATTGTACAACACTGCTTGATATGACTGAACTATTGAATGGTATGGTGTCTGGGTTATGTCCTAATGAAATGATTTGGGGCGAGGGAGGGGAGAGGAAAGAACTATCTATGTAAAAGCATCTGTTTGTTGGCGAGCCAGTTTGGATGGCTTGTTGACCATTTTGAAGTTCAAGGACAGCATCTGAAGCTTGGGGCACAGGCAGTTTAAGAGTGCTCTTTAGAAAGGAGTACCCAACTGGTAAAGGGCCTAAGCATGACAATTGATCAGAAAAACAATGATTTCCCCTTTGCCGTTATTGTGGACTTGAGGTTAGGCTATCTTTCCTTTTCAAGATTATTTGGCCAGAATATTTTTAAAGGAAAGGAACAAGACAACTGTTAGTTATGTGGACAGAAAATCCGCACAAACCACATTAATTTTCTCTAATTCAAACAATGATAGTGGTTCAGTAGCCCTGTGTGAGTACATGTATTCAACTTTAACCTGAATGAAAGTTTAGATCCCCCAAATGCAGCTACTGATGTTCTCTCTCTCTCTGAATATTATTCTTAAACTTTAGTACAGCCAACTCTATTCCTATCTTAATAAAAGCATAGCGTAGTTGATCATTCAAATGTACCACAAGTCAAATGCATCAATTATTCTCCACTCTTCTTTATTCATTATCCAGCTTTGGCAATCATTTGAGACAATTGAAATTAAATGGCTTGGCCTAGGTATACCCTAGTCCTCAAAGTTATATTTTCGTTCTTCCTCACATTAAAGAGGTCTTTGCGGCAGGCTTGCTCAATGAGTTAGTCATTTGATTTCTTGACTGCTGCCTCTCTGGGTATTAATTAAGGATCTAAGTAAAATTCAATCCTTGACAATTTCAATCTTTTCTTCATTTATCATGACGTTGTGAAGATTTTTGTTTTCTTTACATTGAGGTATAATCCATACTGAAGGCTGTAGTCCTTGATCTTCATCAG